GCCACGCGGCACACACATTAATACACGTACGCACACACACGCACACATATATACGGGCACGCGCGCACACACATATATAACATGAACGCACACATATCACACGCACACACATCACACACATGTATAACAGGGACACGCGCACACACAAATATAACACGAACGCACACATATCACACGCACACATGCACATGCACACACATATATAACACAAACGCACACATATCCCACACGTACGCACACATATATATAACAGGGACACGCGCACACACACATATATAACACGAACGCACACATCACACGCACGCACACACACACATATATATAACACGAACGCACACATATATATATATATATATATAACAGGGACACGCGCATATATAACAGGGACACGCACACATATATAACGCACACACATAACACACGTGTAGCGCGCACACGCACATTAACGTACATCAAATAAAGTACTATAATATAAACAATTGTGTGTATCATTAACTAGTGTGAGTTTTATGTGTTTCAACAAAAGCCTTTTTGCATGATGATCAAGGGTAAGTTCTACCAGAGATTATTAGTAATAATCATATACATCAATAATGATTATAGATCATAAGGATAATGAGCCATTAATAAGAGCTAAATCATACAAGCATGTGACCACAAGAGAGCGCTGTCTCCATGGTGATAGGAAGCATCGACTGATGCACTGAAGGTCTGTTATCACACAGCGATGGAGTTTGGGCAAAGGATGTTGAGGAAAAGGATTACTGTTGTGAACCCATCATTTACCCTTTAATCACATATCGTATGTTCAAAGTGACATTTTGAAATGAAAAAGCAGGCACATGGGCTCCCGCTGTGGAAAGGGTCGGCACAAATATATATAGTTTCCAAATTGAGAACGTCTCAGAGGCTTAATGCACATATACACAGTTTGTATCTGCAAAGAGCCTCCTTTGGAGTTAATAGCGTTAAGGACAATGAGTCCCAAAAGGTGTCAGGAAAACAATGACATGCATGCTAAAAAAACAGAAAACAACAAAATGAAACAGGATTGAAATGTGGGTTCCGTTTGAAGTGAAGAACCAGTCATGGCGTGAGGCACCCATCTACAGTAGACTACGGTTCAGCGGGTCTGGACAGGAACTCTTAGGGTCTCATGACAGCTTCAAGGTCAGAGTCAGTAACTCATTTGTCTCAGAAGAATTTACAATCTCAACAACAAAGCCCGGCGCCCCCCACTGACTCAGACGCTCACGTCCCCAGGACAACACACCCCTGCTCAAGTCAACATATACCCGTGACGCTTTAACAACAGACTTGGTTTAACACACTCTACACCCAATAAAGCCACTGGCACATTTCCTGCTGATACTGCTCTACTTCTGGATTATGCTGCTCTGATGTCTCACGGCAAAACCGAGCTGTTGCCTTCTATTGATTTGTCCACAAATCCTTGCTCCTCTATTTGCAGTGTCCACTGTGTGTACCCGGATCCTTTGCTCACCAGTTGCACCACAAACAAGAAATGCACTTGAGTACCTTGCTCGGGATTGCTCTGTTCTTTTCGCCCTTTTGGTAATTTAGCCATCCATATCTCCTGGCTAAATTTATGGAACTTTTCAATCTGAAGACTAAAACCCGAATACAGATGCCTTGCTGCAGATCATATTGAATGACATCATTGTACCTTGTGTACAACGTTGCACCCCTTTTCAGGCCTTCTGCAACGTCTCTCTGCTACTCAAGTTTTTGGAGATCTGGTTTGTCAGGTCGCCACGGCAACTAAACTCCAGCAGCCATTCTTGTACTATATGGTCTTCTCAAAGTTCTGAGCTTCGGTTTCTTCCGGGCTCTGGGTTTTTTATGCGACTACTTCCCAGAAAGCATGTAGTTGTTTTGCTCTTTGAGTGTCCTCCTCTAGAGAGATGTGCATGCAGGTGGCATCGCTTACACTAGATGTGGTACCTGGACCCGGCAGAACCCATCTGAAACTGCTTTCAACGGCTACTAGTGGTTCTGTTATCCTCTGAACCGTGCCAGTCACTATTCACCAGTCTCTGGCTACCGGTGGCTGCCCGCATCCAGTTCAACACACTGGTGCTCACGTACCGTGCTGTGAATGGATCGGGTCCAGCTTACATCCAGGACACGGTCAAACCCGACATCCCGACCCGCACTCTCCGCTCTGCATCTGCAAAACTACTCGTCCCTCCCTCACTGGAGCAAAACACTCGACTAGATCTCGACTCTTTGCTGTCCTTTCTTTCGAAATGGTGGAACGAGCTCAGAGAGCCTTCACATCTTCCGCCGCAAAACTAAAGACACACCTCTTCAGACTCTACCTCCACTAAGAGACTAACAAAATTGTAGCATATTGTACTTATATAATTAATAGTCTGCTCCTATTAATACTGACAGTTCTGGATCCTCAGTGCCTTGTGGTGGAAAATTAGCAAGTAGTAGACCTTTTCTCTGTAACTCCTCTTGGATAGATTTGCTCCTTTATCACAGCCGAGCACACGTTTCCACTGCTTCAATCTCACGCTCTGTATTCCACACGTTTTCCAGTGGCCCTCTCACAATGCTCCGACGCGCAGCGACAGGCGAAGTGCACCCAGAGGTGTGGATGTTCAGCGTCTCTTGTCTGATCAGTGCTTTGACCACATCTTCGTGAATGAAGCTTTTCTGGCTACCTCCATCTAACAGGCAGCGTACTGTTTCCCTCCCGGCTGGGGCTTCCATGCCTTTTGGGTCTGGAGCAACGCTGTGTTCTGAAGGTCACTCATCGGTTTCACTGGGCTGTACCACAGCATCTCTACTTCCACGGTCAGCATCTGGCTCTGCTTCACTTTGATCACAAACTAACTGGTGATGATGTCTGCGATGGCACAAGGCACACGACACACCCTTGACTCTGCAAAACTTTGCTATGTTTTGGACCTCGGTACACGACGCATCTTCCCCGTTTTCTCAGTTTCTCCTTGCGAGCAGCCACAGTGCTGTCTGGCCAGTGTTCAGGTTAATGGTTGGCGCTGTCACAATACACACAGGTCTGACAAACATTGCACGTTCCATCTTTTATGCTGGCTTTCACAAACGGGGTCTGGCTTACCATATGATCGGTTATTTAGTGGAAAGTTCTTTGTGTGTTACTTACATTTTGTAGGAACTGGACGAGATGAAGCACTTCCCATCGCCGCTGGAGTCTGACTAGTGGCTGTAGTCTAGTGTAACATCCTCAGGTACGATGTGCAGCGGTACCGGGCGTTGCAGGCAGCCATATGTGTTGCTGTGATCCCCTAAAGGATTCTAGACTTGGGATTTGTATTTCACATTCATGGTACAGGTGCCCGAGAGCTACAACATCTGATGATCTCTTCACAGGAGGCAAGTTTAGCAGTTTGGACATACAGTATGTGCACTTATTACGATGTCCTTTCTGTGAAGCGGTTGTACTTTTCCCTTTTACACAGCGTGTCGTTGTCGTGGATAGCCGCTTCACATTGTGACCAGAATTCTTGCCACTGGCTTCTTTCTCCGCTGTATTTTTCCATCACCAACTTAGGCAGTTTTGCAGTCTGCTTATTTAGCTGAACTTGAATTTGCGTCACTCACCCGCACACTCACCCCATCCTCACCCCATCCTCAGCCCTTCGATTGGATCCTTTGGCGCGGGTTTCAATGTGAGGATGTGGTCCTGGTGGAATCATACATCCTGTTACATGAGGAGGACCAGAACACTTGAACGGTATCTTCTCCAGCTTTGGAACAGAACGCATTCTCGTACCACTACAGGTTCACACATCAATTTTTACATCAAAAACAAACCATGCAAGTCCTGTTAAGTAAGCTTCTCAATATAAACCGTGTTACAGAAGCAGCATGAACTATATTAATGATGGAATCAAACATTTAAAAACATTGAAGTGACCTCCTCTCAGCTCTGGGTCCTCGCTTGTTGACAGTAAACAGAGAATGCAGGAAGTGTCCACATGCCATTTACAAGTTTAAACATGACATGACATTGTTCTTGTCACATAATCAGAGACACGTGTGAATAAATTACAGACTGAAATACAAACAGACAGAGACAACTTATGTCGTAGGCACTCATTTTCTCTACTAAAATTTCCAAAACTAATAATTCTATCTCTAGGTTACTAAAGAATAAGTCATTAAGTTGCATCTTCAGAGTAAAATTAATTAAAAAAGGACCAATGCATTTTGACTTGTGTGCAAAAAGTTGAGACACAATGTTAAAAAAAAAGAGATTATAAGGCTCTAAAACAATGGTGCATCTCCATGTTTCCTCTGGGAAACTGTACATAAAACTACACATTTCACATTTATTTGAAATATGACATTTACCAAAACTGTAAACTCTTTATTGTTCAACTGAAATGCCTTTCACATCACACCTTTAGCATTCAGTGGCCTTTTTATTTAACTTCAACACTGACCTTCTCTCACCTCTGGCACCCAGCTTGTTGACGGTAAAGAGGACGCGAGCAGAAAGTGTAGACGTACTGCAGGGCAAGAATCAGAATTGGGATAAAGACTTACTTCTTCACATTGGAATCATCGGCGTAATGCATCTGGTGGCTGCTGAGGCGTAGAAAAACAAATGGGTGTCGGCGGGAGGAAAAGCACCTTGAAGTGTCTGGTTTCCTCATGACCTTCCCAGAAGCCCTGGATGTCAGCCAACACGTCCAACAACGGCTGAGTGCTTCGTCACGCAACAAACCACGTCACGTATTCCTAAAGCTAAACTCTGTATCAAATGCACAAGACTCATACTAAATTGAAAATGGCAATTTGACTGTGATATCCAAATAATTGGCAGGAAAATGTTGTTAGGGAGAGACGTAAGGGAGTAGCTGAAATCATTTGGAGGCATCGTCAGATCACGGCTCACAAGAGGACCATCGATACATTGAGACCTATTGTGAAGCAAGTTGACACAATACGCCAGACGAAAAGTTCATGCCGAGTCAACACGGATGTGCTCTTTAAATGATGATGTCAATATCATTTGCTTAACCCTTCTTCTGTAAAAGTTTGACTAAAATGGCAAAAATCGGAAAACTAGTTGTTTTTGTTCTTGTCGGTTGGAAAAGCCTCAATTAAGAATCTTATAAAACACATATTACACATATACATGTCATAGGGCCATCTACATCACACAGGGCGAGCCCTGGACATTACAGAAAAACATAATCCGCCCAGTGGACACAAACATACCAGCTGCCCTGGTAGTAACATTGCAAACATTGCATGTTTTATTCTGAAAAAAATGCAGATTCTTCCCTCGGTGGCCTTGAAAATGTCCCCTTTTGCCTCATTGTTGAAATGACCGTTGGTCAGAGGGGAGAGACAACATTGAGTCACATTGTAGCCTACAGCCTCATATCTGCTCACATTGATACCACCTCAACATGGCTGGCAGCGTCACCCAACCACGCCGCACAACATCGTACTGTAGCTTATTGCATTCAGTCGGACACTAAACCGTTGATGCATTTACTATAAAGCCACAAACCTAGTTTCCAGGAAGGGGAGTGAAACAGCTGTTTATTGTATACCTTCTCCTTCCTCAAAGCGCTCACAACTCAAAGCCCAATAAATGACTTTGCTGATATGTAACAGCAGTATTTGTGTTTGGGTTACTGAATAACCAGGTCAGTTAGACCGCCGTCATTGCAGAGACCTACTGTTGCTAGTGGCCCACAGTCATTATCATAAAATAAAATAAGTTGTCCTATAAAAAGTCTTATAAGCATTGCTTCTGTCTACTAGATGGAGTGTTTAAATACGGAATGAATGTTTAGGAAAATCTTTTGAAATGCAGATTTTTTTTCCGCTTGAAAGTGTGATCATCACGTTAGAATAAACATTTTTTTTTGCCATTGCTGTCCCGTTATTTATTTGTCAATAAAAAGTCACTGCACCGTCTGGGAACAGCCTGTCTGGAGCCCATTAGTCGTGCTGACTGTACCAGTAAGGAAGCGGCACAACGGGCCATTCACAGGTGGGAAGACAGTCGTCCACGGCCACCTGTGACCTTATCTCTCACCTGATGGAAATGAACCCTTTATATGCATGCGCAGTGTCTTTTGTATTTAATGTGCACGGCCGAGTTGTCCCATCGGCTGCCGGTGTTTTGTGAGGGCGGTGGCACAGTAGGGAGGAAGGAGGTGAGGTGGAAAAGAAAAGGTGTGAGGGCAATAATGTGTATTACTCTCCTGGATGACTTTAGGCTTTTTCCTACCACTCCCTCTTTCCCTCCTCCCCAGCGCCGTAAGGACACAAACCTGTCATAATCCATCTGCATGAAGTGAATAAAAAGGGAGCAGCCGCGGCAAAGCAGGTGATCGTTTGCAGAGGAAGGAGGACCCGGAGCTGACACTGCCCCCCCCCCCCCTCCCTCAACACAGATACACACACCTGGGCCTCCAGCAGAGTATGCAGACCAGTCACAGAGGAGGACCTTGGCTCAGGAGGCAGTTGACTTTGTTTGCCAGTGAAATGCCTTTTAGAGAACACAGGGAGTGAGCTGAGATCTTCTGAGCTTGACAGGTAAACTCGACCTTTACTCAAAAGCATTTGTACTTGTGCACCAGCTGGTGGCTTACTTTCTTTTTAAATAAAGAACATTAAATGACTGTTGGTGAAGAGACTAAAAAACATCATTACAACTTCCTGAATGCAGGATTCATCAGTAATAAATTAGGTATTTTCTTCACAATATTCCTTTACCTTCATTTAGTTAAACACGTTTGATAGCACGCAGCCGGTGCAGCTGAACCCCACAGGCAGCTGCACCAGCTGTAGTCAAATTTCCCGTCGCTTTCCTTATATGTGGTTGGATCCGTCTGTACGGACTCCTACTGTGTCTGTATTTGTTTGCACATGTGCTCTCTACACACGCCGCGGCCTGCTTTGGCCTCACGTTCAGTTAAACTGTCAGCTGCAGTTTAACCCCCCCCGCAGTTCAAACGGCAGGTAGATCCAGTTTTATTTACTTTTCAAGCGGAGAACAGGTAGAGCAGCATCGTGGGTGACAGTTGAGCTGAAGAGACACAGACACAAAAGGGGGAGAAAAAAAGCAACTATATATGAAGCTTGAAAAACGCTCTTCAGATTGTTGACGGACAAGTCGTGATTGGACCCGTGCAGTCGGACGGGTGAGAAAAATGTGCCTCTGTTAGCGAAGAAGGATCACACATGGAAGCACAAAGCAGAATCCGGTACAAGGACAGCAGAGGGACCTGCTCTTTGAGGTGGATATTTTGAGCTCAGGAAGGACACAGTTAATATTTGACTAAATTTACTACACTTTAGTTTAAAAAAAAACTACTACACTTTAGTTTGTAAATTCCTCAAATTTAAATATAGCTGATAATAATAAAAGCATGCTGCAACAGCATAACTACTGGTTATACTGGTCCAAACAAGGCAATAGCAGCAAAAGAAACTCTGCAAACCAATGCAGGAATATAATCTGATACCTTCTTCCCAATGTGTCTGCAATGTGGGGGTCAGATCACAATCCAAACGGCATATTCTTATACTTTGAGGTGTGGTGTCTTCAGCCTGGGGCTTCAGCAAACCATCTCTCCTTTTAAAGTTGCAGGGCTAAGTTTGTTTAAATATTTGACAGAACGTGAAAAGTTCGTTGACGGTGTCAGTGAATACAGAAATATACTAAAAAGAGCCTGCTAGCACTGAACCCATGCGGTCTGTAATACCAATTGTTCCTCTCAGTAGTGAGTGACTAGTTTTCATAGCTTGGTATTTAGTGGTCATGGAGGCGGGGTTACTAACAACGGTTCATTACAACGAGCTCAATTCTTTCTGAATACACTAAAGGAGGCGACAGGAAATGGAAATGGAGTTCAGTCTGGATCAGTGATTAGGGGAAAGTTAAAACAGGTGTAATCATACGGAAAAACCTGTCCTTATTCCAGTAGAGCCTGTTTGCTTAAAAAAAGACAAGGAGAGAGTTGGCGGAGCAGGAATTTCAAGGGTAGATGGAGCGATTAGTAGGAGAACAAGTAGGGACTTTGTCTAGACGCAGTACTCGGACAGAAGCAGCTCCAGGGGCACAAAGAGGAGAGCACCTGTTCCGACGACCCATCATATTCAACACACAGTTATACCTCACTTCAATCCTAACCTGCACAAGGAAGTAGGTTATCAATTGTAGATCTAAATCAAGGAGACAATACTCAACAATGCCACAAAACGCAACTACGCACAGCTGCAGGCCCAGATGACCTGATCTTATTAACATCTGGCTGTCAGATAAACAGCACAGATTTGAAAAACACGTGCTAAATGTCACATAAACAAAGCAGACTATTTCCCCCCCCGAAGGTGAGCAAACAACTTTCATCAGCTGTGTTATTGACTAAGTCCCCGTTTGTGTTGCTTTAGTTACTTAACTTCCCAATTTGTCCTGTTTTTCATCACGTCGTACTTTCTCAAATGACTCATTGACAGACCAAAGTCCTGTTAGCCGTCCAAAAGATTCCACCTGTGAACTTGTTTGGATAATGGTTGTACGGTTTGTTTGTTTGCTTGCTTGATACAAGCCGTGAAATAGGAAATCTAATCTGTACTTGTCATACTTTTGTTTTTAAGGGAATTCAGAAGTTAAGAATAGGCCAAGAAGAGGAAAGAAAGGGGGGCCGACGAGTCCAGAGAAGTCCAAACAAAGAATCCGTTGCTGAAGATGGATCAGCCCCCGCAGATTTGGCACACGCAGATCGCCCCCCAGGACACTGCTGGAGAGCCCAAGAAGAAGGTGTCCGTCGCCAGCCAGCCGGAGTGCTCCATCTGCTACAACACCTACGACAATGTCTTCAAAACGCCCAAGCTGCTCGAGTGCACCCACACTTTCTGCCTGGAGTGCCTCTCCCGCCTCATGGCGGTCTCTCTGGCCGGCCAGGACAGTGACGGCGGCAGCCATCGCCTTTCTTGCCCCTTCTGCCGTCATCCCACCACCGTGCCCAAGGACGGCCCTCCGGCCCTGGCGACCAGCCGCGAGGTTCTCTGCAAGCTGCCCAGCCACCAGCAGCAGGCGGAGCCCGTGTGGCTGGAGGGGGAGAAGCTGTGTTACAAATGCCCCGCGTACGACAACGCCGCCGCCGCCGCCGCCGCCACGGAGGTTCACAAGGGCCTCTGCGTGTGCATCGACATCGGGGCCAACAAGGCAGTGGAAGCTCCCGTCCAGCCGCAGCCCCGGACATTCGGCCTGCTGCAGCGGCTGTCGGACTGGAAGAGGATGGTGCTCTTCGTGGTGCTCACGGTGCTGCTCGTTGTGGTGGTGTTGTGGCCGCTGCAGTGCGTGTTCAGCTCTGGGGACATGCGATGCATGCAAGCCAAGCCGCAGCCCACCGCGGTGCCTTCCACTACCGCCGGCCTGCTCGACAGGCCACCGGGTCAGAGAGCGTGACCTCACAGGGCCGGATGGACTTTGTTTGGAGAACTTTTGGGCATACTCAATGTAGCATGACTGTCGATATTACGACATCGGACTTAAGTTGCCCCCAGAGTTGGTCCCCACTGGGGGAACGTGAAAAAAGCAACTCGGAGCACAAATTTTCACCCAATTTTGAGCTCACATGTATTGTCAAAAATCCATCATACAAACAGGACTGATGTGAAGTTCCTGGCTGGTTAAAAACAGCTTGTCAAGTTGAATCGACGAAAAAAGGGACTAATCCACAATAAAATGATAGAAAACCCAAAGTCACAACCTGGTGCTGTGTATGTGGTTTGTGCATTTTGATGCCTCATTTACAACACAATAAAAAAGTAGGGCATTGGCTCAGGTCTCTGGGAACAACAAAACGTGACAGCCTCGTTATTGATTGATATAATTTGACTATGATCCGTCATGCTTATGAGTTTTCTTGTCTTAAAAACTAAATTTATTGCAGCATCAGTTAGTGGCTTAATCTCTCTGAACAGCAGGTGTATTAAATTCTCCTCAAATAACACACAGCTCATGATGTGATTGAACGGATATTAAAGTGTTGGTTGGGGGTCAATTTGCAAAGCAGTTGAGACATTTACTGACTGTAGTTTGTCATATCCTCCCTATCTGACCCTTAAACCCATCGCTATAAAACAGAAATCCTCCTTCGCTTTATCTTTTACTGGATTAGGTGTGTCGGGGAAAAAGTTTGGATGTGGGCTTTTCCGAGAAGCTTACACACGGATGATAAGACATTTACCGTTAGATTAAGTACTACTTCCTGGAGCAACGTAGTAACACATTGAGAGTTTAAATAATAGAGAAATGGCTGAGTAATGGCTTCAAAGTGGGTTGACGATCCTTTTTCCCTAAATGAATAAAACTAACAAATAACACAGTAATAATATCTGTAAAAACAAAGAAAAGCTTATTTTTAGTTGGGCTCATTTCAGATTGAGGTATGAGGTAGATTTCAGGTAAGATTTTAATTTTCCAAAATAGGCGTTTATTATGAGGGTGCGTTTTGTCAAGATATTTAATTCACACAAATGTAGCACAATAAACAGTGTATTTCCTTCTTGTACCCTTTAACTTCTTAAGCACAATTTTTTTCAGCCTGTTCAGCATTTTTTTTGGGAATGCACTTTCTGCCTCGCTTTGCATTATTGATATCCGCCAACTTTTGTTCATTTAGCTTTAAATCCCCACCGTCCCATGTTCTCTACTCCACTCCAAGACGATTGCTTCATTATTACACAGATCACACGCTCACGTTTGGGCACAGGAACCTCTTCCAAATGTCGATGCGTCATTTGTCTTTAACAAGCAGAGAGAAACTAGCCCAGTTTCACAAGCAAACAACAGGGGGAAAAAAAACTAAACCCGTGTGTGACTTAACATTGTGCCATCATAGATTTTATTAAACTATTTGATAATAAACCACCTTAATTCCATTTCTGGCCGCTCATTGCATCAGCAGTTGTAGCCTTTACCACCAAAAAAAAGGCGTCTGGGCGGAGCCAGTGCGAGGAGAGGAAAAAGGGGAGGAGTCTCCTGGACAACATTTGAGCGCTGAGTACATCACTACTCACTGCCAACAGGGAAAGGGAACAGAGACGTGGACATTATGTTCAAGTAAATGGAAGAGGACAAGCAGAAAGAAACGTACGCCGTTTTAACTCGGAGCTAAAATGTACTTATCAACGGTGAAATTACACCAATAATAATAATAATAATACTAGTTCAGACAATACAAAATGCAAGAGTAGACAAAACATTCAATTTAAAAAAACAACGATTTGAAATGAAACCAAGAGTCTAGTGCACTACCAACATACAGCAACCGATGGACGTCCACACGCAGCCTGAGGCCGAATATTCAGCAGTTTTACACTTTCAAGTATTCACGACGTTTCATCAACATATTATAAAAGAAAATAGCCCCATGAAATACAATGAAAATCAACAATAGTCTACAACTCAAGATGGTTCAGAAACACAAAAACTACAAAAGTCTCCGTCATTTTGTGGACAAAGATCACAGCTGAGAAAAGAAAAGGACCAGATGGAGGAACCCGACGGATCCACACATCTCTATTGTTTATGTTCAACCAAAAGTACTCAAAGGGGTGCAGCATTTATTTGGAGACAGACACAGGCCTTCACTGACACGGGGCAACCATCACATCATAAAACAGCTTTTATTCACCAAAGGAATCAACCATTAAAACACATATTGGCAACAATCTATACCGGGGAAACACTCTCTGCTGACGGACAAGTGAATCTTATCCTACAGAAACTTGATGAAATCACTGTGCTTTTGTAAGCCTTTAAAAGACGGAGCTCGCTCTTCACGCGGGATGATATGGCTGCTGCAGGTTACAATATTGCATTATATTAATATACCCCACAAGTATTAAACAGTATCCAATTACTGTTCATTAGAGTGCAATGACTGAGTAGTACGATTATTTCAATACATTTGAATTACAGCGAGCTGCGTTTTAAAATCAGCAGCACAAACTGCCGGAGGAATCGAGGCGTGTCCTCGACCTGGGGAGTGAAACACTTCACTTTGTGCAGGAAGAGGAATGGTGGGAACAGCTGAAACTTCCTATTCATGGTTTCTTTTGATGCTTTCCACGATCACAAACTCTTCCTTTCTTAAGAGACATCGTGCATTTTAAAAAAAGGTTATGTGGGAGATGACGTCATGATTTTTAAAAGAGCTCGTTCTGGTTTCGCAGACACATCCGCGGATATTTTAGTGCCGATCCCGGAGGCTAAAAATAGCAAACAATCTGCCAGACAGCGGCGAGGGCTCAGTGCTCCGCGGCACCGCCGCCCTCGTTATCGCTGCGGTGACGATCATCAAGGCCGGATTATGGCCATCTTCTAAATTACTTTTTGGAGTCAAATCTATTCTTCAATCTCGGGCGATGGCCATCTGGCCCGCTGTAATCGCCCCCTTCCCCTTGTCTCCTCGTGACGATCCCCTCTGACAGATGTTGGACTGCATCAGACCTGCTGATTAACTGGGTAAGCCGTCCTAAACTCCACACGCCCGCCCAGCAGTCCTCTCCACCTGCTCCCCGTCAAACGGCAACTTGAAAATACATTAATACGCAACACAGGCAATATCAAATAAAACCACAAGAAATGATGATGAAAAAACAAGCCAATTAACATTTTCATGGATGAGTTTGCACTTAAAGGGGGACCGGCTGGAGATCTCGTTCCGATGACAGAAGGACTGATGTGGACGTAACCAAACCTCAAACCTCAAGTTCTGTTCTGCAACAAAACCAGTCGCATCTTCAAAAAGTATATTGTAAGAAACTACCTGAAATAATCACGTGGATTGGTTTGAAGAGGGCTCGCTTGCCTTTCCTGAGCCTCGGGGTCCTGTAAGCAGATTACATAACGGCCCTGCCATCAATCAGCAGCGACATTAATAACCGCCACAGCTGGACAGCTAGAATGCCGCAAAAAACAACGTCTTTGGGGTCGGAGTTCAAATGAAAGCCAGCAAAGCCAGAGGAACGGGGGGAGCAAACAGAGAGACCTCGTGCAGACAAGAAGGTCGGCGTTGAACAGTTCCCGGGTGCCGCGCGCTTTTGTCCGGTTCAGGCCGGGACGGACTCCATGTTCCAAACCCCTCTGGTTTCTCACGTTAAACCGGGTTCCGGGGATTTGGAGGTTACGTGGGGGCCGGATGACAGACACGTGTTGTGACAAGGCACTTGCGTTGGTGAAGAGAGGCTGGAGAGGAAAGGGGAGCGAGGAGTGTGGGGGACAAAGGGTCCTGAGCGAGAGCACTATGCTGTAGAGTCCTCCTCTCTCCCGAGGGGGAAGCTCTGTCCAGCAGGACGGCAGCAGGAGGGAGGGGTCAGCTCACCACCTTCAGCCCAGGCAGGGTCCACTGATGTGGGGCGCGGTCAGAGCAACACGCTCCCTCGTGGGATTTTCAGGCGCCGGTGAGGCGACGTCTCCGCTGGAACTGAAGCAAACAGACGTGCTCATCAAGTGGAGTTTACAGCTGGTGTCAATCATGAGGCGGCATTTACCCAGCATGCACCACATCGCCCAGGTTATCTTGAGCAGTGGTTACCAAATGGGAGGGTACGTGCACCGCTCGGGGTACCGGAGGGCAATCTACGCCAGGGGGTCCCCAAACGTTTTAGCCTCACGGACCGTTTTCATGTCGGACAGTGTTTTGTGGACGGGTCTCTGAGGTGTGGTGATCACACGACAAAACAACCGCCGACGGAGGGGGAGCGGAGGGGCAATCGTGCGCTCCCTGTCCGCTGGTGGGCGGCAAGGTGAAAAAAAATGCTTGTTGACGCTTTGGAAATATATCAAGAGGGACGAGCACACGTAATTAGGAGATAATCCGCTTAATTTTCAGAATAAAAGTCAAATGACAAAATAAGTTATTCTTTCTGTGGTGCGTCCCGTAACCAAATGGCCCACGGACCAGTCCGCGGCCCGGTGGTCGGGGACCCCTGATATATGGGGTACGTGAGATAAAAAACATATATACCGTGTCAAAGGTTTGGACACTTTGTCATTGAATGAGTGAGAAAATGTGTCCAAACTTTTAACTGGTACAGTATTTATTTCAAAATCCTAAAAATAGTTATTAAATAAATTTTGAAGAAAATAGAACTCAACCCAGAGTCTCCTCCCATAACAGAATGGTTTGACCCAACCTGGCACACGCCACCTGTCAATCACAGCCTCTCTGAAGGCTCAAACAGTGGAGTTGAACACACCGAGGAACAAAGAGACAGAAGGCAAAACCTGAGCCGACAGAATCACGTCAGTTTTCAGAAGAATATGTTTACGTCCACCAGAGGTTTAATAAATCACACTCTTTTTTTCAACCAAAGATGCTTTGCGCTTTAGGTGGTACTTGTCTGAAAAAGTTCTTTCTGAATTGTCCTGTGTTCTCAGTCTCTTTATGGAACCTTTAACTAAATAAAGGCTGGGATTATTTAAGGAGCCTTTCAAACCGTATACAGTGAGAGAAGGAAAGAAGCTGTAGCACATTTTAAAGACTCAAATTAGGCCACTTCTGAATTATTGTGCTCACTGTAGATACATTGAAATCTGAAGCAAAAATATATAAAAATATCTACAACTTAAAGTCTGCAAGATTTTTAGGGTCTTTTGTAGTGATTGATAAACCACAAAAAGAGGAAAAAACTGGTTTGTGAGAATTAAGGCTGGTTTTAATTACAGCTGAATGTCATATTTTGTTGCTTTAAAAGGGGAGTTTGTATTTTCAGCCACTCTAAAATTCCAACCATTGAATGAAAAAAAGTTAAAAACGGTTTACAAAAAGAAGTGTTTCTGACTGTAGAGGCTTTAAGCACATTTTCTTGCACATAAAGTATCATTTAAACCCCGTTTACTAGCTTGCACTTTTCTTTTTTTTACCTTTGGAACGACAGCACACTGTGAAGCAAACTAATTGAAATGAAATTGACAAAGTACTTACAGCGAGGCAGACAGACGGATGTGAAGGTCAACATTGATTTATCTCCTGGTGTTGCTGCTAAAAGACGTCTGAGGGCTTTTAAAGTTTATGTTCTCGTACACACTCGATGAATCCTCATTTGTCATCCTACAATGACACACACAGCAGAAGTATTTACTGACAAAACAACTGCACAACTGTAACGCATCCTCTGCTTAATGTTCTGTGATCACATGTTCAAGCGTCACAGAGCGCCTCCCACTTACACGGAAGAAGAGCGTGACGACGCCATGTTGGGCTTGGACCTCGAGTTGGTCATCTGGGGATATTTGATGTTGGAGTATTCTCTCTCCTTTATCTTATTCCTCTGTAAAGTGACAACACGCTTCAGTCAGTTCACAACCTGGAAAGCTCTCCCACCTGTTGGGTCTTAACCCTTCATAGTTCCTTTCCAACGTAAAAAAAAGGTGCTGTTGGATATATTTCGATGTGTATGGAAACACCAGCGTAATGTCGTACCTGCTCCTCCTCCAGTCTCTTCTGAGCCGTGTCTATGTACTGCTGCACCGCCATGTAGATGAACTTGTACTGGGCCTCGGTCTGCACCATGCCCGACCTCTGCTGCCTCACCCGCTGGATGGTTTTAGGGACGTCGATGTCACAATCCAGACCTGCACACATGTGAGCGACAACGAGTGAGCGCAGGTACAGTGAACAAGATTTGACTTATTTTTTTTTAAAGTAAGTCAGTTTGCCACCTTGCCGGTTAATAACGTCAATTAGGATGTCAATGACGATGATGGTGCCTGTCCTGCCGATGCCTGCACTGCAGAGAGAGAAACCACAGCACATTTATTTCATCCAGACAGTTATGAAGAGTGTTACATAAGCATCAAAACCTTTCCCAACTCAACCAAATTAATGGAAGTGGATCATGAAAGTCGGAGCTTATATTTGTTTTAACCTGCCAGCAGCAATAAACTTGATTTTGTTACGTCACATATAGAGTGCTCTCAAAGCCACTGCAGATAAACACACTGCTCAACGTAGTGTCGTTTTCCCCGAAAAGACAACATAATGGGGGAGAGTCATGACTCAAATGTGTTCTGTCAATCAGTCAACATGTTTGTGAAACACATGAAAGCCCACGAAGACGAATCCAACGTTTATCCACCAACCGACAGTGGAAAATAAATTAGAAGAAAATGAAAGAGAATAGAGGTGCTTTGATGCTGCTGCTGTGTTTATTCATGCATGTGACTGCTGCCACTGATCGTGATATTGTTATCAGAATTCAGTGGGTTTTATTTACCATCTTGTGTTCAGCATTCCATTTATATTCATTCAAGTTTGTGTTATTTTACAGCTCATCTAAAATTAATTATGGCCTTGACTTCCAATTGGACGTTAATTTCAAGTTATTCCAATTAATAACCGGCTGCAGGTGGGAGAATTAAGAATGAGTTTGTACTTTGTTTCTGATAAACAGGTCTTTAGATTTACTTTTGGTGGCGCTAGTTTGCTGTAGACGTATTGCCAATGAGAACAAGTGTTAACCTTAGTTATAGCACACCCAAGGGGCCAATTTAAACAGTATTTTATGAAATCCCCACTTCAAACAAAGAGCAAAGTGTGCACAAGCCGCCTGATGGCAAATTGAGTCAACGAAGAGAAGAACAGAGAACGGCAAACAGTGACCACAGCGGGTTTCCCCAAACGGGAAATCCCTGCTCCGTGTGCAAACACGAGCGTGTGTGTGGCCACAGATGGTCGCTCACAAATTGGGATTTAAGTAATTGCCTTTTAGATTTGATCCAACGTTAATAAAGGACAAAGTAGACCCTGTCCAAACAACCGTTGGACCGCTTCTCTGGTTTTCATCTTAGAAGTCCAAAGTGCCACATTTCTCTTCTTCCGCAGCTGCTGGACCCAGAAATAATTAACGTATACACAAACTATAGGACTAGGTTCTTTAATCCAAACTCCACGCTTCATATTGGAACAGAGGTTGTACCTGCAGTGGACGACGATGGGTCCGGTGTCTGGAACGGAGCTCTGGGTGCGGTTGACCTCCTCCAGGAACCAGAGGACGCCGCCGGGCTCATTGGGCACCCCGTGGTCCGGCCAGCTCAGGTACTGGTAGTGCCAGATGTACCTCAGAGGCTCCTTCTACAAGAAAATGATGTGTGTGTGTGATTTAAAATGGAATTATGACGTCCTACTTCCTCCAAACAACGGATCTGCACAGCTCGTTAAAAGGCTTACTGAGAGGAATAAGGGACTAAATCCACTGCACTAATTCAAGCAGGGTTTACGAAGCTAATATGATGCTTCAGTTAGCCAATTAAAGTGTTTTTTCCCCACTATTAAATGCCATCTTTGTGTTGGCTTGAACCGGCTGTGCTGTAATGGAGGGATACTCTCTGGTGGTCACATGTAGACTAAGAGCAGCGACATTGTTGTATACAGACACACCTTGTGTCTGTATCTAGATATGCATTTGTGGATGCATCTTCTTGTTCTTTAGGACACAATTCTAATGCCGCTGTGATGTCAATATCAAAATAAAGATAACAAAAAAATTGTTGTAGCATTGGGTATTGCAAGTACGCCAGAGTTAGAGTAGCCGTGAATGATGGAATACAGTGTTGTGAAAAATCAGAATCAAGGAATTCTGTCCCTAATTTCTTGTGGTAAATGGACTGTACTTGTGTAGCGCTTTTCTAGTCTTCTGACCTCTCAAAGCGCTTTAACACTACATGACATCACTCACCCATTCACACACTGATGACAGGAGAAACACACACAGTGACACCTGCCATCAGTAACTAACATTCACACACTGTAGTCGCAGTTAAGTGTGGGGTTGGGTTAAGTGTCTTGCCCAAGGACACAACGACATGCGGGTTAGCAGAGCCTGGGATCGAACCGACAACCCTCTGATTGGAGGATGACCGTGCTCCCCACTCACCCACAGTCGCCTCGTGGGTGAGTGGAACTTGTGGTGTTCTCATGGTGAGCAAGTGATAGAGAAAAGCCGTAAAAAGTTAAACGATTATAACTTTTCCCTTCAAGAGAGTAAAATCTTTACAGTGTGGGCGTGAACATGGAAAGAACATGGAAGGGCTACACTGTCCAGTTGATTCTTTTGCTCTTACAGGGGAGAATGTGATATATTAATTTGTGATGGTAGCCGTCATTCACCTAAACACATGACGGTTGGATGGAAGAATCACTTGGCGGCTCTTTGGAGACCACGTTGAGACGTTAACCCCAGAAACCAATGCCTCCTTTTTAAATGATGTTCATTCAGATTTTCTACTACTGTGATCGAAGGAACAGCTTCTATGAAGTGGGTGGTGACGCCCACAACGACCCCCCCGTGTGCCTCTTATTGTATTAATGCATTGAAGAATACCTTCTAAACTAAAGCCGATACCATGTCCTCTATTTGCTGAGATCCATGTGGTCAATCCTCGAGCAAACGCGAGCCGGATTGTGTGTGTGGGGGGTTAGATAATCCGATCCCAGGTCAGTGGGTCGGCTCTGATTGAGCACGCAGCTTTCCCTACCCGGTCCAGACGGGTAACCTCCAGCTTCCTCAGGATGTAGTCTTGTGCAGGCCGCTCGTCCACGTTCCTCACCAGCACCTTCCCGAATTCCTTACTGCCGTGCAAATCGGGCCAGTAACGGACACATTTGTTCTGAATCGGAGGAAAGACGCGGAGAGAGAGGAAGAGGAAAAAGAGGTTGGTCTGTATTAGATAATCGAAAGGAAAAAAAAAATAAAGAGCTCATCTGAAGCAGTTTTCCAATCAGCTTAACTGTCATACTATCCTGTTGCCCCCCCGACACACACAGTCACACACACAGCATCATCATCCTCTCTACACATATACACCCCTCTCTCAGAATCAGCTGATGCTCTCAGGGGCTGTACTTTAACTGGGGATGTAGGAACAAAATGGTTGACAAGCGGTTAGAAAAATATGGATTTAAAAAAAAAAAAAGGTCAATAGTACAGAATTGATCCTTTAACATCAAACTGAAACAATTTGCTGTCTGCTTGAAAGCGCATTTGTAAGACATCAACTGGGAGAAAAAACCTAGAAAAAGCACAGAACCGAAGAGTTGGAGCTACTTTATAGAAACTGCGATGTATGAAACCATTTCTACCTTCTAGTCCCACGTGATGTAACGCGTTACCTTTTATAGGCCCTGTATCCGCACTGTGGTAATGTATGTTAAGGGAAGCCAGTCGCTCACCCGCCCTCGCTCCATCTCCTTTGTAGTCATGACGATGACGTGTGTATTTTCCTGATACACCATCTTCCAGAAGTCAACCACCGTATTCTGTAGGCACCCTTGGGTGGCGATAAAGATTTTGCCCTCATCCACGTGGCGTCCCTCTTCATGCATACTCTGTACAGCATGGGCGATGAAACATTGAATTAAGCACCAACGCGAGGACCATTAACTCATGTATCCCCAACGGAAATGTAGTGCGAAAGAATGTGTTGAATTGTTACGTATTAAAGTGGGTATTTTATATTTTACTGCGTGATGTATTAACATCGACAATGAAACACAAACCATGCCCATTTATTGCTACATTGTGTACAACTGCCTTCTTTTGGCGTCTCTTAAATGAATGGCCTTGCATGGGACTCACTATGATGCAGTTGGCATTGATGTAGTCCGAACCAGGAACATCTGGATCTACCTCCTGGAGTTCCACCCGAGTTGTGTCAACTGAAAAAAACAAAGTCAAACTCTCAAGAATGCACAACAAAACGTAGACGTTTTTTTCTCAGATCACACTTTGTGCTTTTCTTTCCAAAACTAATGTCAATTGGTGGGCTGTGAGCAATCAAAGCAGAAGCCTTCGCACTCTGCCGAGGCTTCTGCGTTCTCTGATGTATATCTGTGTCATTGTTTCCACAGGAAGTTGGAGAGACAGGATATGGCAGGTTGCTGCGAGACTCACAGGGGAGGATGTTCTTGTATCTGTTTTTACTCTTGTTTTCTGGCTTCTGGCCTTCTTTCCGGGGATACAGCAGCTTGCACTCCTGCTGCTGAAGTACCTGAGAGGGAAAGGCAAAGTGAGACGTTTTAACATATATATGAATATTCAGGTTAAAACGTTTTACAGTTCACAGGAGAAGACATTCCTCACACTGCATTTACTTAATTCCCCTTTTCCAGAGGTGGATTTTTGCTTAGAGGAACACAACATTTGAATAGCATTTTGATTTGTTTTCCCAGAAAGGTGCACGTTTGAAAAGTGAAATGGGCATTTAATGCAGTAGGGGTCCCTCTGCGGTCCCAGAGTCCACCCCAAACTAACTGAGCCCCAGAGGGATTAACTCAAGCCACATGGCAAGTAGTTGAGTGTGAGAGACCCAGTTAAACGGTTGATGAATACAATAGTAAATATCAACTCATTTTGTTTGTTTTAAATGTATATACACAAAAATGTACATCAAATCCCCGGTACGTCCTATCGCTGACTGAATGACTTGTGGGTGGTCTGTGAGTCCATGAGGGGTTTGCATGAATTCGTGTTCAGGTGGTGCACGTACAGAGGAAGCGTTTCGTCTTTGAGTCTCAAAAGCTCCTCTGTCATTAAATTCATCTCGGACTCGTTTGTGCATTTTCCTATAGTTATTTTGCTGTATTAACATGAACAGTTATTTGCAGTCCTGATATATTTTTTTATATTGCGCGTTTGTGTAAAACTTGTACATTTTATTCACATCGATAACTTGCCGGTTGCTTGGAAATGATAAATCCAGGAACATAAGGTCATGCCGCAAGATAAGCTTCAGCACCATTACGCAAAAGAAACACAAATATTTCCTGTCCCTTACCAGACCAGTAAAAGAATAACTCACCTGGCGGTAAACATCCCCAAATAGCTCAGTATTGGTTTACAGCATAATATGACGTTCATGTGACGATTAGCTATTGTGGAAAAACTTCATCATCAATCTCAAACGGTGTTTTAGGCCTCATACCTCAAATTCCTCCCAGAATCCTTGTTTGGGTTTTTCAGAGTTGTCTGCTACTTTGTTGAGCTCTCGTACCCGGTTCTCAATGTTGGCTGCGTTTATCCTGGTGGCGTTGAAGGGCTGTGGTCGCAAAAGGAATGAGTCAACTTAGGAAAACGTAGTTTTGGTGAATTAAAAAAGTTGGGACAGAGTATGCCAAGGATTCCCCGGCAGAGCCGTGGTCCTCTCCCACACCTGCTTGAGGTGCACTACGATGCCACTTTTCTCCACCATGGGGTTCTTCTTGTAGTGATCCACCAGGTCGGCCAGCGTGTCGAACCGCTCGCCGCCGCCCACGTCGTATTTACCGTCCTGCTGGAGGAAAACGGCCACAGTTTGTCCACAGAAACCACAAACCTCAATCTGAACAGAGACAAAGTCAGCCTACTTTCAACTAAAAGATCAAGGATTCAGTCACTTTGAAACAGGATTTGCAAAAACACGTCCATGCATTTATCTTCAGTCGACTGGACTACTGTAGCGGTGAGTCTCCGGTACTCACTAAGACCCAGTAAGTGGATCACATGACTCCAGTTCTAAGGTCTTTACACTGGCTTCCGGTCCAACAGCTCTGCTGTTGGGTTCATAACGCACTGAATGGTGAAGTGGATTCTTGTCTAACTGTATTTGGTAACCGAGGTCGCCTGTGTTGCGCTTGTAGAATAAAGCCGGACTGCTGAAAGAGTGCCGAGTTAGTCCGAGAGGCCGGGGAGAGCGACCTCACCTGGTAGCGTATCATGACGTGGGTGACCTTGGTCTTGCGGTCCACGTTCTCGTGTTTCTCCTCATTGGTGAGAACTGACAGAACAAAGTCGCCCGGTTTACTCTGGCTCTCCCGGACCAGGAAGCTTCCGGCCTTGCCTTTGTCCGTGAGTAGTTTTTCCGCATCTCGCCCAGACAGGTGCCCGTGGTACCACCTGGCCACGGGGGGGAGAAGAGGCTTAGGTGGAACAAGACGTGAGCCCTGAAACAACGTTCAATGACAACAAGACGGCCTAAACGCCTGAACATGCAAACTGGATCAGCTGGAGCGTCAGTCTGACCAACGGGCCAACGTTCATTCCCATCTCAGGTCACTGAGGGACATCTGGCCCTTTAGGTGACAAATGCTTTACTATCTTTAGCAGCCGGTCACTAACTTTGTCTGTCACCATTGGTGTTGGTGAATATTGGGTTTTAAATGTTTTAGAATTTTAGAAATCTGAATTACAACCTGATTACTACTGAAAATGATGGTGAGAACATTCACCGGGAAAACGACTGCATGCAACCATTTAAAAAACACAGTGCACATCCGTTTGGATTATTTACTGAATGGTTTCTTCGCTGTCTGTGTCTTTTCACCTTCCGCCGAGATGGAGAAGCTCGGCCGCAAGCTAGATGCCATTGCAAAGCAAATCAAATCAAGGAGACAAGGAACAACAGCTGAGGAGGAAACTTGAGCAACTGAGGGGGAGGGTTAGCAATCTACTTCCTGCCTTAAGGGAAAATGTTGTACATTGTGGTGCTCGTGTTTAGAATAATGTCTATCTATGAGTGCATCTTGAGCAAAGACTCCTACTCGGGAATAAGTGTCTCTTAAATTGCTGCAGCCTCGATCAGCTTCTGATGTCACAGTAACATGAAAAACCTGCATGTGTGCACTTTTGTTTTTTTCTTTTTCCAGTGTGGTGAGCAAGAGCGTGTAGGAGGCTCAGGAGACCTGTAGAATGCAGGAACCACACAAACCAGAGCCATTGATCACAAGGTGTGCTTAGACCTAAATGGAAACAGATACACACATTGCAACGTGCATATGGGTAGAAAAAGAAGATGCACAACCCGCCGAGTGTGAGATGACAGCAAACAGTCGCAAAGGGACGTTTTGCAAATGACATGATTGTGTGTGTATCTTGCTGTATGCATGCTGGCATTATTACACCAGCTGCAGGGAAGAGGCGATGTGTGATGAGGTGTGTAGCGCTGTCCAACCTTTGTGTAGTCTCTGTAACGAGGATAGCGTGCGGAGCAAAAACCAACAAACCCGCTTGTTTGAAGACGGATTTGGGAATTTATCACGTTTTATGCATCAGAGATTTAGTGTGGGATGCATGTGTACAGATGAATCCACCATCCCTGCAAACACACATGTGTATTGGTACAGAGCGGATGATTTAATGGTTGATTCTTAAACCGTTCACTTGGTGGCAATGTAGGTCTGGAAAATTCAAGATTAAATGGTTCAACTATATATTATTTATAGTCTACCTCCCAACTGAATTGCGGTGCAGTAATGATGTTTGCCTACCAGACAATTGTATAGTTTATAATTTGAAGGATCTTCAGTGAGTCCGTGTCAATCAAATGTGTCAACCGTGCATAACCACAACGTATTTAATCTCTTAATTAATCAGATATGTGTTTGGGCAAAAGCAGAAGCGTCATCTACCATTTCCATTTAAAGTCCAGGTGTGTCTGCAACTGGCACATTGCTATTGCTAAAACGCAAAGAGCGCAATTCGGCGTTTTTCTGCAGTGAAAAGAGTTTTTCAACAACAAATGTGGTTTGGAGGTGAAGATAGTGTTAGATAAAAACATATTTTTAATTCATTTTTCCCTAGAATTGTAATCTCAGCGTTATGAATGAAGCTCCATAGCCAATTGTTTGCAACTATGCGTTTAAGACGAAGGCTGAAGGGGGTTGATAAATCAAAAGGTTGCGGAGGCCTGAAGCCGATGAGTAATGCACAGAGCCTCAAAACGCCACTGGGAGGGGAGGCGCAAACTTTAAAGTAGCCTAATACCACACACACGGAGATGAGGAGAAGGGAGGCTGAGTGGACAGAGGCGTGTGTGCACACGAGGCATAAATATAGCACTCCTTGACTCATCGTGACACATTTTGTTCGGACAAAACTGTGTGGGATAAGTTAATCATTCTGTGTCTTCTCAAATAGCAACAGTCCCCAGAATGCAAGAAATGTTTGACGCTGAAACAGGTTAGGTAGGCACAGAATACAAAAAAGTATTTTAAAAAGAAGGAAGATACCGCCTTGCTGACTTTAGATTTGCTCTTTGTCGGTCAACGGCCTCAGCAAACCTCTTTTAAAGACTATTAGCTTATGTACATTTGGGATTAAAACAAATTAAATCACACAAATGTTTGCCCAACTCTGCAATTCCTTTCAACTCAAAACGGCCTTTAAAATTCACTGCCCTCAAATTCCTCTGTAAGATGTTCATGCATCCACTAACAAATAAGCATTTGAACATAGTGGAATACTAAGTTATTCTGGAGCTTGTTGGGACCAAAATAGAGCTAAAGGGAGGCTGTTTTAGCTTTGCGAGTCCAATTACAGTTGATAATTCCCCGGACTAATTATCACCCATGATCATTTCAAATGTGATCAACCATAGTGCTATGGATGAGGAAAATATATGCATCATTACTGTGAGGTATTCAATTTAATCTTATCCAGCAGGAGGGGTTCTCTTAGCAAAGCAGCAGTCAATAAATAAAGGAGATGTCATGTTACCATATTAATAATAATCTACCGTCTCAAACTTCAACTGTCAAGATGTTGGAATAGGTTAGTTTAATTGACCCAACTTTACATGCGTTCAGGCTCCTCCTGCAGACGTTTATAGCAATGCCACACACAGGTCAAAAAAGCCTTCAGGCTCAACATGCTGAAAAATATATTCTGAGGCCGCTCAACTGTGATGTGTAGTATTCCATGCCTCTTATTTCCATGCCCCAAATCCTATTTAATAAATGACATGCCTGCCTCCTTTTGTCCAGGGTGGTGTCCTCTGCAGTGTGTGTAACAGCACGTGAGGTGCAGCAGGATACTGTGCGTGCACTGTAAACTACACTCATAAACATGTTCTAGGGGGTTTGGCTGCTTCTCTTTGCAGGATGCGGTTTGACAGCACAACAACCCTCAAGCCGTCAGAATCCGGTCATCCGGTCAATCCGTACACAGTTGTGACAAGGTGGCCTCAGATGGGTTCATGTGTATGTTTTTGCTCAGCCGGCTCGCACCTCTCAGACGTCGGGTCCTGGCAGTTAAGCGGGTACTTGAGCTCGATGACATGGCCGTTCCTCTCGCGCAGGAGGTCCTGCTGCTCCGTGTAATACTGCACCAGCTCGGCCAGCGTGGCAAACTTCTCGCCTCCGTACAGGTCGTAGTAGTCGCCCGAGTTCTGGATCTTTATGTGGGTCACCTCATCGTCGCGCCTGAGTGGGAGAAAGCACAGTGGGGAATTCGTCATTCAGTTGTGCAGCGCGGAAATAGAGGTGGGCTCACTGTGAAGAAGCACCCAGAATTCTTCTCTACGTCTTTACCGCTTGTTCACTTTCACCCTGCAGGTAAAAATGAACACACACACACACACACACACACACACACACACACAGCCACCCACACACATGTTCTCGTGCTCACACAAACAAATCGTCGCCCACACGTACTCACAGAGCATAAATTCATACACGATATAAAATGCTCAGCTTATGAAGCCATCTGCTCACAGAGAACTTCTTCTTTCTAGGGGCAAGTTAAAGAAGGTTTGTGGTGATGTCACTCCCTCAGTCTAGGGTTCGGGGTTATTTTCTTCTCTTAATCTACACATGAAATGCTCTGCGATGCTGTAGCCTTTCGTGCATACTGTATAAATCATTCAAATAAGGATATACATGTTAAATATAAAAGAATAACACTGCAAACGCTGGGGTGAGAAAAAGAGCCACAGGCTACTACAGGAAGGAAAATGTGAGGCGTCAAAGCCGAAGTGATTTAAACACACTGATCCATTTCATCACCAAATATTGGACTTCAATAACAAAAACGCAAATCTTCTCATAAGGGATCATCCCTTCTTCCTAATACCCTGTAGTTTTCATAAATAATGTGTTTGGAGGAAGGCTGTATTGTGATTGCAAAATAATAAAACAGAAATGCACGGAGCTGCCGAGCTCAAAGACTGATAAGCCAGAAAACATCGGGTGGGCTTCCACTTTGCATATTGAACCGCTTTGAATGCAAACACAAACGCCTGGAAGCAAGTGAAGAGATGCGTCTCAAGCTCAATGACGGTATACTGGTTGTTTTTTCACATCTCCAGTGACGTCCGACATGTTTCTGCAGCAGAGGTAAACTAAACATCCTGCACACATGTGAAGCGGGATGACACATAAGCGACCAGCCAGCCAGTTTCAGTAAACATTCCAGTACGATTCAATGCAGAAAAAAACATTATTACTTTGCAGGTAATTCTGCAGTCATTAACTTTAACGAGTGATTGGATAACTACTTCTTATACCTGCCGCTTTGGGACACGGCCCGAGCCCACACATGCGGAGAGGACCTGCAGGAAAAGCATATATTTTGTGCAGATATCTTAATTTACAAATAATACTGGGAATATTCCATGTTTCAAAAACACAAATAGACACATTGACTATTTGCAAATGTATTTTTAATTATTTTATTTTGTGTTTTTTTTTGTGGCTCAAGGTGGAGCCGCGCCCCACTGCCGTCTATGGACCAGCCGCACCTGCAAGCTCCGGAGTGGGATCAGCCGGGCTGTCGGTTCCATCTGATCCACGACATACACATTACTTTGTAGAGGCCTCCGACCTTTTCTCTCTGCAAAGTAATGAGCGGCTAATGGTCACCTCGATGGCACAACTTTGGTTTCCTTGTCTACATGCGTTTCACTTTCCCCCCTTATTCCTTCTTTACTTTCACTCAACATACTGTACATCCTTTCCTTGCTTTACGCTCTCCCTCTCTCTTCCAGTGCGTGCTGGTAATTGCTTTTGGCTCTATTAGTGGGTGCTGGCAGGGTGCCACAGGTCTCTGGCCCTGTTAAAGGCCCCTCCTCAAGTCACGGGCCAAAGACCCTTCTCTCTCTCTCTCTCTGTATAACCCCATTAACTCTCGAATGAGCCAAACACGTCTGATTAGATTCTCGTTCAGTTTCCTGGTCTGCCTCTTTCGGACTGATAACAGTTATGGCTTCATTATGAGAGAATTTAGGAAGCCACGGTCAGCAGCAAGTCTGTTCAGCTACAATACATGACAGATGTCTGTTATTGTTGTTTTATTCCATGTTTTACTGAAGAGGAGTAAGAAGGTCCTCCATCAGGACACATTTGATTGCTGTTTTATATTTGTAAAGTTATTCTCCCAACCCACTAAAATGACTAATCAACACAGTGAAACCATAAGTAACATCTGCTTTAATTAGGAGACACACAGTCATTGAAGCTACAACGGCAAATCAAAGCAAACAAGATTCAGTGCAAGGTAGTATTTGTTTAACTCCAACCAATGTATTCAATCATTTTTCGGGGTCAAATTCAAGCATGGTTCTGTTAGAATTCCAGTCCAGGATCCTCCTTTTGCTAATTTTTCATTAAAACAAGTAAAAAGTTTCCCGACGCTCATTCGGATGCTATTTAATCCCATTCATTATGATCTAATGTAATTAATGTGGGAAATTAACTGGCTGAGGATCAAAGAAAATAAGTTATGACAAATTTCTTGCTCACCAGAAATTCTCCTCTCAGCACCAGAGAATCCAGACATTTTGACTGAAAACTAACGCGAAAAAAACGCACTTCTCAACGTGTCGCGGATGTGGCATCACACCGTGGTAATATGCATCGATGGGAAGCACAAGCTTGACCCGAGTTCTGTGTTTACAAATCGTGTTCTCAGTCACATCCTGTAGGACGCTGAGGAATTACACAAATAGATGACACTAAAATCAGGATATGTAGACATGCTTTTATCCCAGTGACTGTCAAACTGTAAAACTCATAATGCCAACTTTCAGCACACCAACAAGAAACAGTCATTTACTTTGATGATCCGTTTCCTGCTTTTAACTTGTTTGCACTGATCATGATGCCTCAGTCCTTTGCAGCTGCAGCTTCACACACTCCACCTGTGGGCGGGATTAAGTGTTGAAAATTTAGCTGAACGTTGAAGCGTGTACACCTGAGGCCGAATGCGGACCGCCAAGCCGTTCGATCCGGCCCACGACTGGATTCCCAAATTGTGGAGTGTTCGCCGAGTCCGAAAAGTGGTCGGTGGCAGGTTTTCAGAACGGTATTAGCCGATCTCAGTTGGGTATTTAGCGACATCCAAATACCATGTAACGTTTAATATTACATTGAGCATTTTCGTGACCGTGGGTTTGCCGTACATGTTTTTTTCTAACTTTATTGACAATCTAGCAGAACACAGCAGCTTGCAAGTAGCGCAGCGTCTTAAATAAAGTGACGTATGTCTTAATGGGGCTTTAGAAATGATCACAATGGGATTCTGTATTTGCTCATAAAGTCTGAAACGGGTCATTCGACCAATGCATTGATAACCGACCGAAGCCAGCGGACAGAGAGCATCCGCGGACTGACTTCTACCCCCACTCCCCCCGACCCCTCCCCCGGTCCGGCCAAACCGTTTGCCCGACCACCGGCCGTCACTGGGTTTTATTTATTATTTATTTTAGAGTTTTATTTATTTAATTCGATACATGTGTCCCACTATTGTTTCCACACTAAGTACTTCTCAGTCCAGTCATCATTGAAGGACCTGTTTTCAATATCAACTTAATATTTGATTTCTTGATATTTTATATTTGACTTAATTGTGTTGAGGCATAATATCTATCACCCCTGTTGTCTGTGGTATAGGTGATAGGAGCCTGACTCATAAAGGCCTTCAGTCTAGTAATGAAATGGAAAAAGTATAAACAACGAACATCAATCATAATGTTATACTAAGATTTCATTTTTATTTAAGGGTCCGGCCCCCAAGGAGACTGTCTGGTAAAATTCTGTCCCTCTGACAAATATAGTTGATGACCCCTGATGTACAGTATTTGGATCAGTTTGACTAAACTAACTATATGCAGAGATGAGACGAGCACACACACACACACACACACACACACACACACACACACACACACACACACACACACACACACACACACACACGTCCGTGAATATACATATGATCGCTTGCTGTGCCCTGAAAGCATATCAGGCAATATTTTTCCCTCAATACAGCCTGAAACCACTAAGAAATCCCCTTTCCCATCCTCTGTCCACAAATTGAGGGCGATAAAGTTTTTGCCTCCATTTCAAATCCCATCTCAAGTCTACTACGCCACTGGTTTTTATCCCAAATCCTTAAGGCTGCATGTTCAAGTCTGATATAAATGTGAGAAGTAATATCAGGTAAATTAAGAGACGGTCCTGAGGCTGCGTGAAAAGAACAGGCCTAAAACCAACGCATCAGTCCTCTCTGCCCACTGGGCTCGCTTCTGAAGGTTAGACAATTTATGCAAAATAAGGCGTCTGCGACTCAGAGCACCAGGGGGTCTTTCAGTCCTCCCAAACACCAGCATCATCATTGAAAATAGACCACAGACATCATGGGCTTAAACTACCAAACAAGAGTTACTGTGCCGGTGTGAAGGATCAGTCTATAACAGAGGTCTTCAACAGGTACTGCAGGGATGGGGGTTGCGAAATTTTTGGTTGATAAGACAATTTTTTCCCCCACAAATGTAAATGTCTTCAGAATCAGAATTTTATTTATGATCTCTAAATACGCATTAACATGAATCCAACATATTGAAGCGAACAGATAAATTGATGGAGACAACACACACATTCAGCTTCCCTCAGCAGCTCTCAAGCTGGGCACCAGTTCACTCACAGCTCCTTTCATGCAAATACGACAGCGCAGGCACCAGCCAATCAGATCGCCTTTATGCTCACGTCTAAAGAGCGTGAAGGTCAAAAATGAAAGATGGCGGACCAAACTCCGTAGAATAGGGGGTCCCTGCTCCACCTCGCCATCAGTTTGGGGGACCGTGGCTTGAAAAACATTGAAGCCCTCTGGTCTATAACATGAAACCCCTGAATGAAGAGAAACTGTCGAAAGACGCTGAGAAGGACTAAACATTAATCAGCCTTCACAATGACGGTGGTACAGTGTCGTCCTATAAATGCCACTAGCTGAAGAGGAAACGTATCCAAGTAAACTCCAGCTGGTATTATATAACACGGAGGCCATGAGGAGATCCATTCGCTGCGGTAACGTGGCCTGCAAAAGATTGCCCTTAAAATGTCTCCTCTGGGCCTTCACAGGGAATAGAGAGCTTGGAAAATGAGATAACTTGAACAGACTGAACTCCTCGCGGAGTTTGACTTGCACATAACTTTTTATGCATTCAACTTCTTTTCGGGCTCTGAATTGATTACATTTTCAAACCCTTCAAAACGCTCTCATTAGCATTTCTAGCATCCGTTCAAGCCTTCAGTTCGCTTCTCGGCAGTCCGACCTCCCCTTCCTCTCTTCGCCTCGTGGGGCAGAGAAGAAGAGGAGGAGAGGTGGTGCAGATAAGAAGAGAAGAGGAAGAGAGGGGCAGATAAGACAGCGGAGAGGGAGACCACCGACTTCCTCAGCGACCATTACAATCTGAACATTTGCAGTGACTACTGTATATCGCGCTCATAATGGCCGTGGTAAGATGAAACCTGGCTAATGACTGGCTAATTAAGCCTCTCCTCTCTGCTCCGATAACACACGGCATGCCTGTGTGTCTGCGTTTGAACTGGTGATGGGAAATAGAAAAGAGGATATGCAAGATAAGAATAGCTTCTGTAAATGCAGAATAACGAATAATTATCTTCAGTTTGTTCCAGTATTTTCTGCATTTCACAGACTTTATTTTGTGATAAGCCCTAGAACATTTGCGGAGAAAAGATAAAAAGATCAGTCTTCATATAATCTACACTTTTGTACGGTTCCTATGTTGCACTGATGGCGGGGCACTGGAGCTGGAGAAAGCTACATGTGTAGTTTTGGCAGAAGGCATCATGCAGGACAACGCAGTACTCGTCTGGTATTCTTTCACAAGTTTTGGTGTTTAAGATTAAATTTAGAGGGGCAATATATTCGCTGTTTGCTCAAATACCATAAAAAACCTGTTGTAAGGCATAAAGTAATCTATGCTAAAGAAAGCATGAAATAAGAGATTACATTACACAAAAAGTCTGTTAAGTTTTTCAACAAAATAACCCGATTTAACCTGCTTTTTGTGAAAACATTAACATTCGCTATAATAGGTTCCCTGAAAAGGTATTTAATCTTTTAACCTAAATCCAGTTACAAATCAAACATTTTGGCATTCAAAAAACGCACAAAGGGCAGAAGCATGAAAAATGTGTGCGTGAGCCTCGTGCTTATGAGCCGAGCCAGAAAAGGTAATAAGATATTGGTAAATGTCACGGTAGCCCAAATCGTCACCTTGAATTAGTCTATTGACTCAGTAAACTCATTTTAACGTTCAAGTCCACATGTTCACCGGCAAAGCCTCAGAGTGCACGGAACACAGCGTTCACGACTTACGAATGCACCTTTTCATTAGGCGGAGGAAAAGGGTCTTGCAGTTGTGTTATTTCTAACTTAGTGTCTCCACCATATCAAGTGAACCTGCCTCCTGCGTCCTTACCTACCTTCCTAAGCAGGTGGTGAGGCCGCACACTCACCACTTGACCTGCGTGCGAATGTTTGTTTAAAGTCTGTCACGACCACAAACAGTGGCTGCAACCGACCCACCAACCTTCCTGTGGTGTGGCCGTGATTTACGACACACACACACACACACACACACACACACACACACACACACACACACACACACACACACACACACACACACACACACACACACACACACACACACACACACACACACACACACACAGAGAGAAGGTCAAAGCATTAACAAGTCCCTCGCTCTTTAACATTATTTAAAAGCTAGCAGCTGCCGGTCTGACTTCAGCCTTCAGGCTTTCTTCCAGGCCTTCGGCCGGAGTGATGCGTCTCTTAGGGGCTTCCGTTGCCGAGGAAGTGACACTCTTCTTCTATCTTCTATATGTTTCCTACTCTGTAATCAACAGAGCACGATGCCAAGAATCCTCCTACTTACCGGAAATGCCCCCATTCACTGCAACACACCCGGGCTGGAAATTACAGAGATGAGGAGAAAATATTTTCCCGGGCATGAATGGCACCCGGCTGTGCTTGTTCCGTGCCACCCTGCTGCCCACCACATGACTTTTCTGGCTAATTCTGGCTGTGACGTCACCAAATCCCATATACTGTTATTCAACCTGTCCCTTGAAACACTCGCACAAAACAACTTCTGTTCAAAGGCCATCTATTTCCGCAAGGACCCCACGTTACATGACTAGCCGAGTCACGGGCGGCTCAAAGCACCCAGCAGGCCGCTCCTCCCTCGCACACTGAGAGCAGGGAATCGGAATCAAATACGTGGACTTTAGCCCAAAACATTTGTACGTCACAACACGACGGCATCGGGGCTTTGTTTGTCCTCAGGGCCGAGCTTTCAACCGGTGAGAACAGTCCGATTAATGAACAGCGAAGCCTCGAGCGCAGACAACGTCATGGACAGCAGGCGGGAAGCGGGAGGGGTGGGGGGGAGGGTGGGGGAGTGCGCTCTTACCGGACAGAGAGGGTGAAATCCCCCGGATTGCTCTTGCTCGGCCGGGCCAGGAAACTGCCGTGGACGCCCCGTGTCAACAGGAGCTGCTCTGCCTCGATTCCGGGGATGTTGGGGTGGAACCACCTAAACGACAGAGAACAAGGGGGGGGGGGGGGGGGGGGGGGGGTTTCTTTCGGGCTTTAAACCCACCAAAAAACTCTGGAGAAAAAAAGTATTGTGCGGGGGAGGGCCCCTCTTTGTGTCCCCGCAGGGCTCCCATGCCTCGCAATTTTAAATATAAAAAAGATCGAAATCTCCCGCCAAAATTCAAAAGGGGTGCCATCCAATGTTTCAAAAACACGGGAACTGTTTTTTCTAGGAGAAAATGACTATCAACAGCAGAGCTGCAGGATTGTTAAATGTCGCTGAATAAACGTAACTTAATTGGCCTCCTCCGGTCAGGACCACTCAGAGCTCCATAATTAGCCAGTGCGAAGACTTGAGTGGGCGTACAAAGAGCCAACTAACCACTTAAACGGCTTAGTGGTGTCTCAACCCTCTTGCTTCATGACAGTTGCATTCAATCAGCTCGGGACGCTGGATTTCACCAACACGGTTGATGTTTTTGCCCAAAAAGGGAAGGAGGGAAAATAGCTGACAATTTAAGGCAATTTACTCTGATACTGTGTGTTTATTGTTTTTTGCTTGATAACGTCCTTTGCAACAGAACCGTGACCATGTTGATTTTTTTCACAAATCTCATAATTTCCCAAGAATTTAAAGGCCAGTTCCTTCAATATATAATAAATCATATCTCAGGCCCCACACCGGTTGCACGCTGCTGTTGACACAAGGGTAAAATGTCATCAATAAATAAATGGAGTGCTCCTCAATAGCACTTTTAGAATGAAGTATTCCAGCGCCAACCCGACTGACCCCCTGTTAGTAGTATGAGGAACAACTTCAGCAGATGAACACTGCGTGATCCCACGACATTAATGTTCTACTAGTAAATAGAAGTATATTTACACACTGTACGTCAGTGGGGAAGTACACTCAGGTTTACAGAACTGCAAAGCCAAAGCTGATTACACGCCACTTCCCCTGTTGCAGAACACCGCAAATATTTATCCCGTGCACTTCTTGGCCACGTTGACCGATTATCTGGGTTGTGCATCAACCAGAGTGTTTGACACGGCCACTTACCCAAACCACAAGCTATTCACAAACAGCTGGAACATCTGCGCATTGGCACCAACAGTACTGCACTGCTGAGCGAGAAGCTGCGTTAAATAACGCGCTGAAGAAGCAGCGTGTACGCGTAGCAGGACGGCGGGATATCAGCCGCGTGCATCTAAAGCTCATGTTTAAGCAGGGATCATTGGGTTAAACCTCCCTAACGACCGTTAATCCAACGAGCCATCCAAGGCCACACCGGTGGGTGAAGGGGGGGGGAAACTGTCACACGTAGAGTGTTGTACCAGTGGTGACACAACCAAACGTGCAATCTATAAAAACACTTTTTAAAGTATAGAAAGGATTTTGACAGAAGCATCACACCAAGTAGCTGGAGATCAGCTACAGAGACACATGTTACATCGCCGTGTCAGACGCCGCTGTCCAATGAAGTTATTCCTCATTTTCATCTCTTTACGATTACTTATTTCCTCATGTCTTCCAAGACAGGCTAATAATAATAATAATTTCTTTGATGGATTAGTGTTCTTTGATGGAACACTAATGTTCATTTTAGTCACGGTACAACCCAATAATTTACGTATATTATGAAAAGCTATAGATTACTGCAAATGCAAAAACTCAATGAGGATTGATTGGATCATTCAAGGTTAAATACAAAGTATTCTAAAAGACATTTTTTTGTCCTGAGCAAAAGAAATAAAACGTGTGAGATGAGTCCTCAGAACTCATTTTCTTTTTCTTTAGAAAGAATAACGCATGTAAATGCTAATGGTTCAACGAGAATCGTTGGTGACATGTAGACCAAATGACTCATGGAAATCATGCATTTCACATCCTAAATCATCTCCTTTCACCAGCACCCCCCCCCGAGACATTACAAAGGCGTATTATTGATTAATATAACCCAGCGGAGAGCAGGCAGATGGTGACACAGTAGTGCCTTCATGAAGCCTGTGCGGAGGAGATAATATCGGAAAGCTTCAACAGTGGGCGAGCATTTAGGCGCTTCTCCTCTCGTACGCTGTATGACACAAACTCATGACGGCGAGATAAAAATAAAGAGCCATGTGTCGGCTCAGCAGATCTTGTGCAGCACGCAGCAGAATCCTGTTGTCGTCAACACAAGGTCTGAATACAAGGTCGTATTATGTGATGCGACCCTCAGTTTTAATACCCTCAATGAACAGAACATCACAGTAATGCCGACGCCGGACACTCTTGTTGATCAGTGTCCCACTCGGTGTGTGACTTCATTCAAATTAACTGTGAGGAACATTTACTGAAATTAAACTGGAAAAAGCTTGAGATTGCCTCCTGCATTCAGCAATAAAAGTGACACTGCGCGCTTCACAAGCTTCCCGACGAGTGAGAGAAGAGACAGGTGAATCAGTATGGATGCCAGATGTGTGATGGGGGGGCGGGGGGCGGGGTGATACACATGCATAGATATAATCCCCCCCCCTCTTTAAATTTACACGGGGTGTGCAGGGGTGGGGAGGGGTAACAAATAATGCCCATAGTCTTGACAGGATCCAGCTCGGCAACTGACACCACAATAGGACCAGACGGTCTGAACCCAGACTGCCCACAACCCCCCCCCTCCCCCCTCCAGCGAGGAGGCAAAACCGATCCGCAGCGCTTTCTCTCATTCCCACAATCCCAGGAAAACAGATTAGAGGGGGAACTTTTACAAATGATGAATACTGACCCGATTACAGGGGGAATTAGTACTAAAGACGTGTAGGGTGACTTGGACCAATGCCCCCCCTGTTATACTGAAAATATCCCTGAAAGTCTGCCCGAGAGGCCGACCGACAGGAAAATGACTTCACAGCGCGAAAAGAACGTTTGAAATGTCGCTATCCTAAAACACTTTTTTTAAGATGGAAAACATAACATACGATTTAGCGGTTTTGAGTTTAATTTAATTCAGGCGCTTAATTTGACATTTTAGTTTTATGGCCAATAGCAAAACTCTCAATGACTGTTCGGTAAACGAAAGAAAGCTTCCAACGCATCGGTTCGTTCCGCTTCAAGGTCGCCCCCCCCCCCCCCGGGAATAATGTGACCCCGTCCGGGTCTCCCTCAGGGCAGAGTGCGGAGTCGGCAGTACCGAGTCGCTAACGTGGCCTGTGGATTACAGCGAGGAGGGTTAGCAACAATAGCTTAACGTAGGCTAACCTAAAGTGGGCTTAACATCTAGCTATGACGTGACGAACCGCTCCAAGTCTAACAATTTATACTCTTACAGTTGAAAATAATCTTTTCAGTTTCCTTGGTTGGATAAACTTGGCAATAGCATCCCGGTTTCTCCTCACCGGCTGTAATGGAATCCAACCAGTATCCAATTTACAGTACAATGCCCAATAATCTGATACATGCGCTATTAATGTTACATTTATTGCTTTCAAATCAGGACTTTTGTCTTTTACTACATATTTCCACTTGTCAGGGCACATAAAACTATAGCTGCATTTTGTTCCTGGACTGAGGAGCCTGACAAGTCGTGTCGGTCAGCTGGTGGACAGAATGCTTGTGCCATTGTTTTTAAATCCTACACAGATTTGTACAAGAAAAAAATAATAATAGTGGGGTAAAAATGCCTTATGTCACTAATCCATAGCTAATCCCTCATCACAGCGCAGTTGTCTCTCGTCATATTGGAAACAACGGAGATGCTCACGCACACAACGACACCAACAACTAAGCAACCGGTCGCCTTGCCAGGTCTTTACACGCATTCCAACACAATTCTACAACTAATGCACACTGCCGCCCCTTTGCAACCAAACTCCCTTAAAAGTGACACACGCACAAAGCGCTGTTGATATGCGCAAACACACACTTCTGCACAGTGCATCAGATCAGGTGAACTAGGCGGGGGTTAGAAGCAGTGCGGGGGGCCTTCACAGGTGAGGAGGGGGGAACGGGGTCGTTCGCGCTCTACCTCACCATTGTGGACGAAGCCACTGGGCACCGTTACACAACAGAGGGCCGGAGGGAGAACCAGAGACGTAAGGCGTAGTTACTGGGTGAGATGGAGCGAGAGAGAGAGAGAGAGAGAGACACAAGCGGGGAACGACAGACGCGGTGGGGGTGGCGGGGGCTTTGTGTGAGAGAGAGAGAGTACATGAAGAAGAGAGAGGGGGCGGGGACCTTTTAATCTGGGATTTGGACGAGCGCAAGCAGGCCAATACCAGCACCCGTCAGCGCGATCACTGTTCTTGAAACCCCCCCCCCCCCCCCCCGTCCTCACCTCGGTCGAACGGGCCAAGACACTGGCAGACTGGTCCAGCAACCCACCTCTTTCCTCCCCCAGCACCTCACCTCCTCTCCCCTCTGTACCCCGGTTGTCTGATGGCTTAGCGCCAACGCCCCCCCCCTCCAGCGCTTTCTCTGGCTGCGACACGGAGCGGACCGGGCCAGCTACCGGGTTGCTCCCATCTTGTCGGAGGCTAAATGCAACAGCTGGGCCGCCCGTGCCTGGAGATTACACCTAATCGTGCGTGGCGTAGTTACACTGGATCATAGTTAGCCCTCGCCAAGCTAAATCCCCACAATCCAGCCAATTTAGCAGTCTGCCATTAGGCTATTAATTTTGTAGCCTGCAGATGGGCTGGAATGCGAGTGCAGAAAACCAGAGCATGAAATGAAATACCCGTCGGGTCTTTGATTAAATCCACTTCTCTGCATAGGAATTAAGTCAAATGTGCGTAGCAAAGGTTACTCTTACCTAGAAATCACAGCTACTTCTACATATTGAAGAAGACCACAGACCTTTTTTAAATGTATTTTGTCTCTTTTGTACAGCACAAGGCAGATTTTCACTTCTAAAAACCACATTTTCAAAATGTCACTTATGCAATCAAGGCTAAAAGGCTGTTAATAGATTTCCAGTAAAGTAGTTCGGTGGGAACCAGCGATTAAGCGCCCGCAAGCGCTCA